TCATTTTTCCGCAATGATGAAGCGTCGGATTTAACCAATATTGATTTTGTTAATTGACTAATTGTTTTTTAGTAAGCAATATTGAAATTATTTCAAAAAAAAATATATTGGATCGCATGTTCGGATTAGTCAGAATCGGGTCTTTTCATCATCATCATCATCATCATAAGGTCAACAGTCCTGAGACTGGTTAGACACACACAGCCACTCTTTCCTATCCTGAGATAATCTTCGCATTTCCCTAAAACTAGCCCAAATCCTTAACCATTTGTGAACAGTAATCTAATCTAGGTCTACATCTGCCCCTCTCAACTCCTGTTTCTGCTTCTAATATATATAATCGAGTCAAAGAGACAAATTTTCATTATTTCAGTTATTTCTCTTCTTTGTTACTAAAAATGACGATGTTTTTTAACTCCGTAAGAAGTCTTCTCTTCAATAACAATTGATCAGTATAAAATTTATTTCACCGTAATTGAAAATTGTCCGGAATTAGGTAATTCATTCAGACTAATTTAAATTACTTTCTACTAGATTAACGCAGGATTTCTATAACATAATCCTTGTATTTACTTTTACATAAAAATACAAAACGGTTTTAAACATCAGTAAAAAATAATGACCAATATTGATATGAGAATTCAACTGATAATTTTTGTTCACAATGGTGTAGGTGCCTAGTATGATCTGGAGCTTTAGCTTTAAAGCTTACCGTTTAATGGTATGATAATTCCTGCCATTACAGCCTTTCTCAGTTATCCTGCTCCAAGGATTATATTAGTACAAGATACGTACACATTTTACAACTATAATTAGAACATTAATGTAAAAAGTATGTGAAAAATTGTGAGTTTCATTTGGGAATTAAATCTCATTTTATTAACGATAAATGTCCCTAAACATATGTATTTTTAATATCTATTATTATGATTTCTCCATTCGAATGACAGTTATTTTTTATTAATCTACAGAAAGTGATATTATTATATATATATATATTTTATACTACCCATTACTGTTGTTGTATTGGGTTTGAAATTTATATTATTGAAATAAGGAATGAAGGAAATGGTAGAAACAAGCAAAAAAGTCGTTTGGTACCGGTTTATCCGGTAACGTTAATGGACCTTGGTAAAAAAATTAATGACTTTGAGGAAATACCTTCATGGAAGAAGGCGAAAAAATTTTGCGATTATTCATAGGCATTTTATCCTGTCAGGATGTACACAAGTACCTTTTGTTTTTTTTTTAATAGGTACATAAAAATATTCGGCATAACACAACTGGCATGAATAAAAATATAAATACAAATATTTTTAAATTTAATTATTGTAAAACTAAATCTTAAAAATTGTTCACATTACATTCTAAAAATAAGAGAAAATACGTATCGATTTGACTTCATAAGGATAAACATAACCAGGATATGCTGACAAGGGCTAGGTTTGTTGACACAACACAGCAGGTGTGTAAACCTGAGGCATGAGAGTTTCCTCATTTTAATATCATTTTTTTATCAAATTTTGTATGCGTAACGTAACATTTTCAATAGTATCAACGTCAACAGAAATCAATTCTCTACCATTTAAGGTGTTATTTGGTTCAAAGTTGACTTGAAAAAAAAAGCTGAGCAAATCAATTGACCTACCTCTGAAAATAACTGATAAGATCGCGTTTAATGTGTACAAATTTCCAGATATTTCTGCGATTGTAATTTCACACGCGTGAATTCGGAACGTATACTTCACTCAGTTTACACTGGCTATATACACTAAACTACACTGCAATCGTTCTATGAGAATGGGATGCCGCGAATACCGGCACGACAAAAATAAGAATGGATTTGGTGCGCGCGCATCTACCATTAAAATATGCACTAATTACAATACAATAGTAAACGCTAATGATAAATGATATCACACTAACGCTATATCAAAAAAGATAGGGAATCCACTAGCTTACAACTAACAGGTAGGCGAGCAAAGTTTGGAGAGTGCTTCGTAAGCGTTCTACAGTAGAATGCAAAAATTTGGTAAATACAACTATCACAAACAACAAGCTCTTATAAAATCTTGTACTGAGTGTTTCCTTTCCTTATTCATTGCTTTATTTTTCTAAAAGAGTCACGTTTTGATTCTGAAACTTTGTAATACGTTTTATGTATGCTCAATTCTATTCCTTTGGTAAAACTCATTAAAGATAATAGATAAATACGGTAACATTTAAAAATCAATGAAATCAATAACTGATTTTAAAAATATGAAAAATGTACCTGCTACGTTTTTTTCTATTACATTACCGTAAATAAACCACAACACTCACTTCGTTCGTGTTGTCTTTTCCTACCAATACGACCTTAGTCGAACAATTTTTTTGTTTTCCATAATAGAATATTAAGTGCCGCAATATACTGGCAAAATTGTAGATAAATTTAAAGGTAAAAATTGCATGTAGGTATATTTACAATTCAATTACGATTTTCTTTAAATTTATGCATTTTTTTACAAACATTTCGTCGTGCTACAATGAATAATTTTCAACAAAATTTACCATACTGCAAAGACATTGTTGCATCATATTTTTCCCTTACATGATATTTTGTTATCTACCATATTACAGAGAATGCATAAAATATTTGTCCTACATAATTTTTTTATTTTGGTGTAGAAATTAGACAGAAAATGTATTACATCTAATTAACATTAAGTTTCTTTTAAAATTAGTATAAACTCTCTATAATGAAATAATTAATGTTTGAAAGTTGGAAACTCGGTTGTGTTACAAATTCACCGACATTATTATTCATAATTACGTTAATTTATTCTGAAAAACTCTTTATAATGCAGAAATTATTTGAATAGATTGCAGTCAATCTATGTATTAGCTTATTTGAATGAACCAATCATAATTTTTAAAGAAACGATATGCCCCATTTGTCATATTAAAACAAAAACTAAAGTTTCTTTGAAATTCATACTTATAAACGTTCGATGGAAAGCGACAATGGGATGTTTTCTTGACGTTTAGGACTAAACGTTTGCATGCTCATTATCAAATTTTCTTTCAGTGACAAAAATTTCATTCATAATGTTCTGTTGTTATTGTATTATTAATACATAACGAAAAGACTCCATAAAGAAATGAATGTTTTGGTTTAATTATAGAAAGTTTACACACACTTTAACTTTATCTGAAAAACCAGTTTACCTAGTTCTTTATAAAAATTGTATCGTAGTAATGAATAGATAGATGATAATGCAAAATGTTGTTATGACTTCATTAATTGAAGATAAACGTTTTCAATTCAATGTATTCCTGATGTAATGCAGTTACTATTCGCATGATATGCATTAACTAGTAAAAATTCCTTATTCATAAAATATTTAAAATATCATTGATAGCAGCTTTTAAACATTAAAAATAAAATCACCGCCTACGTGCATTACAATAGTGTGATGTGACTAAGCAGAATTATTATTACCTAATATACAAAACCTCTTTTGTGTACAGGAAATTGGAAAATAAATTACCGTTCCCTGTGTAACAAGTACAAGTGGGTCGTGTTGTAACCTATAAGTTGACCCATTTACAAAATTGAACCGTAAAAGCGTAATAAAATTTATTTAGGTATGTTTAACAAACGGCGATTCTCAAAGAATGTACTTATAAATAAAAATTTATTCAAAAGCTACTGTTGCTGATGTGCAATTAAGGAGCTTTGTGTAGAATGAATAGTTGATTAAAAAAGAAAAAAATAGACAAGAACACCCGCTTTGCCTTTGTTTTATGATGGCTTCATTGGGACACAACGTCATCTCTTTAGTTTGCTGGCTTCCTTCCTAATCTCTTAAAGGGTTTGTTCTGTTTATTCGAATGGTTAATGTAATAGGTTGAACTATAATTGCTATTTACTATATTTAATAGTTTTAATTTTTAATGATTTAAATTATTCTGAGGTAGATCTAGATTAGATTACTGTTCGCAAATAGTTAATGATCTGGGATGTTCTAGTTTTAGGGAAATGCGAAAATTAGCTCAGGATAAGATAAAAAAGTGGAGGTGCGTATCCAACCAGCCTTAGGACTAGCGATATTATGATGATGAAATTACTCTCGGGGTCTCAGGAAAAAATAAGGAAGTCCTACATTAGATTTGACAGTTGTTACACTTTCACAAGTGAAAAAATCTATTAATTGATATTTTGAATTTGACATTTCCGCTTCTTCTATCTTTCTGACCGATTTTTTTAATTTGGAAAGGGTAAAATTACTACGTAAACGTCCTTAAGATGAGATATTTAATTATTACTAAAATTAAATAAAAAATATCAGTCTAAATGTAATTAGCTTCGTTTAAATATTCATATCAATCAGAATATGTGACTGGTTATTTATAATTGACTTATATGCAATTAGAAAAAGGCGTTTTTTGAATACCTTGTATCTAATTAAGTTTTTATAATTTGTTCTCTGAAGGAATCTTCGTTAGTAACTTGGAACAGCAAATGTTTATATGGAATTTGTCAAACAGAGGACGCTAGTAATACCAATTGTAATGTTTAATACTTCCAAATCAATAAATAAACAATAGATAATTGTTTATACATGCAAATCTGCATTATCTGTTATTTGTTAAGAAAACTTACAATAACTAGAAAAATTATTCAAAGAAACTTAAAAAACAAATACAAACCAAATAAATAAGAAGAATTAATTCCTAAATAACTTTCTTTAATTAAACAAATTAGAGTTTTCCTTTTTTGGATTTGTTTTGTTTTTTCGGACTAAGTTTAGCATTTTTTCCAACCAAGCCACTGTATGATATAATGATCATTGTTGTTAATAAAATGTTTTCTAACATTAACTTTGTGCTTAAAGCATAGGTTCGCTTTTAATATATACTTGCAAACTAAATGCTTTCTCGATAAAGTAATTCCTACTTAATTTTGTTGCAGTTATTTCCCATTGTAAATTCATGCATCAGGTACAAACAAATGATTGAAAGTTTACTTATAATGAATTTTCGCTGTTATGTAAATTACTGCATAAACTACGGAGATAATCTGGCATAATGATCACTTAGTTGCGTCTTATGTGAAACATTTTTAACATTATTTATTTTACAAAACTTGTATTAACACTGCGTGAATATTTTCGACATGAAAGAAACTGCTAAGAAAACGTAAGTTTATTTTTATACCTACTATAAACTGTTTGAGTACTAAAACTGAAATAAATTCTCAAAATTTTGCAGTTCGTACGGTGTAGGTATTCAAAACTGGATTCTTATATTTAGTATCATATGTGCTATTAATTTTGCTCTGGGAACCTGGAAATATAAAAACGTGTAAGTTTTTCAGAAAACTCGATAGAACCCAAGCCTTTCCATCATAAACAATTTCTTTGGTACAAAAATTTAGTAATACTTATACAAGTAGCTCTAAAGGAGAAAAATGTGCTTGACTATGTGTTTTTCTAATAAAATTACCCCCCTCCTCCGCCCTAACATGTTTTTGATCCAAGGCCTTTACTGTGAACCTATTATAGNCATCTAGTCGGAGAATATTTTTTAAACATCGCGACGAAAACATGCTAACCATCTACAAATTGCCGAAAAGCTGACGGTCGTTGCTGTATAATGAGAATGCAACATAAAACTGACGGGCGGCTGCTGACCGTCATTTTACCTATAGTAAGAATCAGGCTTAATACGTATTTTATAGTAATTTTAAAAGTTTTTTTAAATTAAATTTTAGCTCGAACTTCCTTTTCGAATATATAATGGCACAACCTTCATAGGGATGCTTTTACAGATTCCTCAGAATGATTTGTCGTCCTATTTAAAGAAGAATTACGGACCTAGAATAAGTAACTTTTACGTTTTATTACAGTTCATTATTTTTCAACCTTTATTTGGTATATTTTTCTATTGGAACTGTAAGAATTTGGACAAAATTAATTAGATCTGTCGTTTATTTTGTTTTTATGACATACTACTTTATATCTGCAATTATTTAAATATAAATATCGGTATGTAGGTACAGAAATAGTAAACAGATAAATTTATATATATTAATGGCATTTAATATTTGCTCATGCAAATCCTTATTTATCTCCGGTAGACATATTATGAAGGGTGCTCTGTTTATTTGTAAATTGGTGGTATCAGTCTGTCAATCCAGCGCGTAATTTTTATCGTAATATCTTTAATCTTATGATGAATTAATATTTTTGTGTGTATCAGTTAGCGTCAAGTTTGAATACTCATGATTCATGATATCATTTAGGTTATTGATTGTATAAGATTTTTCATTACTTCAGAACATTTAAATGCATGTTTAGATGCATTTAGTTTGTCCTGGATGAAACTAGTATATACTGAAACTGATTGTGACAGATACAACACAACCTATATACTTACTGTGGGTACAATGCGGAAAGTTTTATTAAAATTGGATTTTACTTTATGTATATATATTTATCTTAATTTTAATACGTGGAAAAAATTAAAAGTTTATTAATAACAGTTGTAAGTTTTGTAAACATAATTTGTTGATGTTCATGGCAGACAGTTGAACTGTTTGTCCTGGCAGTGGTCAAAAGTACAGATTCAATTCGGAACAAAATATCGTCTATCATGCTCTGATAAGAGGACATGTTCGTAATTTTTTTTTCTTCGTATCAGTATATCGTCTTTTGTTGGCCGATACAGATGTGTTATTCATGGCTTTGAAATTACTTTAGTTTAGTTAAATCAATTATTTATTGCGCGTTGAATTAAGTGATAGTAATTAGTAAAATGACAGCATATAACAAGGGAAGGTAAGTTAAGACTGATTAGAAAATAACTGTGGAAAGTGGGTACTTTTGATTACCAAATTGCAGGTATTTTGGTATTGGTTTTTAGATCAGATCGTTTTATTTGCCCTAGCGAGTATATCGAGTTATTCATCCACTACATAAGAAGCCATTTTCGATCTTTTATATTATTATTATTGTGTAAGATTTTCGATATACGAACCTTTTTTAAGTAACATTTGCATACTACATACGATATTTTTTTCAAGGTGTTGTTTTACAATCAATCTTATCCGTTATAATAGAGAAATCTTTAATTTACGTGAGTATTTACTATATCCCTTTTATATTGTTTTTATGATTCTAACACTACACACAATTATTTCTTAATTTTATATTTGTTATAACAGAATTACGTGTCGGAATCGGCAGGTCTTGCATGTCATCTGATAAATAGCTTGTTGCCCACGAATTTTGCACTTGCCTCTTCTTACTTGGTTTACATAGATCCATGTAAATTGTTGAAGTAACAGTGTATTATAAATATATGAAGTGATTGTTTTATTTCTTTTAAGGCACTCTTTTTTTCGTTATGGTTCACGTGATCCATATCACTTTCTTGAGAGGGATTTCATACGCTTTCGTCAATAGCCGCTTGCGAAAAGAATGGCGTGAATGTATCAAAGAAAATGCGTATAATAAAAAAGGTAAAGAGTAAAATAATAAAATCGCTTCTTCTGTAAGGATTTGTAAAATTTTAACACCAATAAAACTATAGATACCGAAAACGTGATAACGCAACGTTTCCTTATTCCTATAGAAGTAATTTTTAGGGTATACCTATATGAATATAGGGGAGAATGGGAAAATTGCGGTCAGCTAAACAAAAATGTGGATAGGTGCGAGACATTTTAGAACAATTAGCTGAACTTCCCATGCGTCAAAAATCTTAACTATCGGGTTGTTCGGAAAGTCATTTCGTTTTTTTTGTGGAAATGAAAGACAGTTTTCATATAATAAACAAATACCTTATTAAATTATATATTGACCGTTCTGGTCCAACACCTTTTGCCATCTTTCTGGTAGTAGCATAATTCCACGCTCATAAAATTTTTGGTCTTTGCTGGCAAAAAACTGATCGAGGAGGTTTTTGACCTCCTCATTTGAGGTGAAGGTTTTACCGTCTAAAAAATTTTGGAGTGACCGGAACAAATAATAATCCGATGGTGCCAGGTCTGGAGAATATGGTGGGTGTAGCATTGTATCCCATTCAAGCTGTAAAAGCTTTTGGCGAGTGACCAAACTTGTGTGAGGTCTCGCGTTGTCTTGGTGAAACACTACACCTTTCCTGTTGATTAGTTCTGACCTTTTCTGTTGAAGTGCATCATTCAGTTTGTCCAGCTGATGACAGTAGACTTCCGAATTAATCGTTGTGTTATCCGGTAAAAGCTAAAAAAAAACGATTCCTTTAAAATCCCACCAAACAGACAGCATCACCTTTTTTTGGTGAATATCGGCTTTGGAAATGGTTTGAGCCGGTTCATCTTTTTTGCTCCATGACCTCTTGCGTTTGACGTTGTTGTATACAACCCATTTTTCGTCCCCAGTGATGATGCGCTTCAAAAACGGATCATTTTCGTGACGTTTGAGAAGCGAATCGCAGACGTCAATGCGGCGACACAGATTTCTCTCTGTGAGAACATGGGGAACCCATACATCGAGCTTCGAGGATAATCCCAGGCCTTTCAAGTGGTCATAAACTGTTGAATTTGATAAATTTAACCTCAATCCGATCTCACGTGTTGTTATTCGCCGGTTCACATCAACTAATGCCTTTATCGCGTCTTTATCAGCTTCAACCGGCCTTCCCGAACGTGGTGCATCTTCGACATCAAAATTGCCGGATCGAAATTTAGCGAACCAGTTCTGGCACTGGCGTACTGTCAACACACCTTCTCCATACACATCAGTCAATTTCTTTCTGGATTAAACAGCAAAAACGAAATGACTTTCCGAACAACCCTATAGAATTCTACAAAGGGGGATGTAAAAAAGAGCGGAAAACTATTAGGGGAAGATCGATTTTGGTTTAGAAGAAATAGAGGAGCGCGGAAGGCCATTCTAGCTTTACGGGTAACAATAGAGAAAACGATAGAAAAAGGAAAGGGTGCGTACATAGGATTTGTAGATTCCGAAAAAAGGTTTTGACAATGTTAAATGGGACAAGATGTTAAATATACCTACTTAAAAATGTAGGGATGAGTTACAGAGATAAAAGAGTGATACTTAGTTTGTATAAAAAGCAACAGGCAATTACAGAGCTGGGGCTGCAACGTAGAAAATTATATATTAGGAAGGGAATCAGACAGGGATGCACACTGTCACCGCTACTTTTTGATCTATACATCGAAGACGCGTTCAACGTCATTAAAGACAGTACAACTGGAGGGATAAAAATACAGGGTCAAATGATTAGTATGCTTAGATTTGCAGATGATATAGTAGTAGTAGTAGTAGCATCTAACAAAGAGGATTTAGAGATAGCTTTAAATAAAATGGAAGCGATATCGACAAAACAGTACTGTATGAAAATAAACAAAAGTAAAACAAAATACTGGTATGCAAGGAATAAAAAGGAAGGAAGAGAGCGAATATAAAGATGGGAGACGAAAAATTAGAAGAAGCGGCTGAGTTTAGGTATTTTGGAAGTCAGATAAGTCAGGACGGAAGGAGTAGTAGGGATATTAAGCAAAGGATAGCATCGGGTCGACTCCTTTTCTTTTTTGAACTTCCATAGCTGCCACCGTTTTCCTACATTTTGCAATGTCCATCCCCCTTCACCAACATTTTCTTTCTCGCCTCGTCAACCTAGCAATTTTACAAAATTTTTCGATGTTATTGTGAAAAGCGGTTCGATCCTTCGCTTTTCTTTATTTTACACGCCTTTTTTCCATCATCTTTCCACAGATTGATCATTTTCTTACCATTCCTGTAAAATAATCTCGCAATTTCAAATTATGATTGAATTAAAATATACAATTCCACTTAATAAAAACTAAACTAAATTTAAGAAGAATCAATAATTAGTATAATTTTATTGACATACAATAGTGCAGTATACATATGCTTGTTTTACGTATTTCAGAAACAAAAAATGTATACCCCCAAAATATTAATATAAGGGATTCGTTACGTTTTTGGTTTGGAGCGCCGTCTGGGACATACAAACCAGAGGTTCCTTCTCGTATCATCACACTAAATCTCAGTTGGCTCGGAGTTGGACTGGTGAAGGCTGTTATTTTTACGTATATTTCATTAAATATTCTTCATGTTTTCGTTGCTCCGGCTGTGGAAGAATGTGTTCAATACATCGAAAAGGGGGTTCTTTCCGAAGCACTCGGATGCTTCCTAAGATTATTGGTAATTACTGTTAGCTTGTATCTGCGATATTTTAACCTTTACAATGTCGTTACGTCAACAAGACTATCTGAAATTTTTGAAAAAACCTGTACATACCTTTTAGTAAACATTTTTGATTGAGGTAGTGCCCTTCCTAAATAGTTTATTTAAGGATGCGATAAAATTTATACAGGTTGCAGATAGGTAGTCTATCGGCATATAAACTTTAGTATAGCGAATAAACGGTAAAACGCAAAATTTTTGCGATATTACTTGCAGAAGATTGAAAAGTTCGTGACTGTTGCCAAAGATATGAAACAATACGAAGCGATACGACAACACTACAACGTTCCCTGCGAAATTTCCCTTGCAGGAGGTTTCTCCTGCAACTGTATATAATATTATTATATTAATTAATATATAAATAACTAATTCAAGCAACATTGGTCATACATAATTTTATCAATATTTGATTCTTAAAAAAAGCCTTCTAGTTTTCTACGTATGGCCGAAGATGACGGCAAGTAGACATCTTGGTAAAATTTTCTGTTTTCGCTATCGCCAAATCGTAACAAGGGCTAGTTTCCTTAGCAGCAAGTTACTAGGTCGGGTGCGAAACATGGACAGTGGGCGCGGCGGAAAAGAAAAGGTTAGAAGCCTTCGAAATGTGGTGTTATAGGCGAATGATGAGGATATCGTGGGTAGAGAAGGTTAGAAATGAAGAGGTATTGGAAAGAATAGGAGAACAGAGGACTCTATGGAAGTCAATAAAAAATAGGCGAGATAGGTTGGTAGGACACCTTCTCAGGCATGAAGGTCTAGTCAGAGACATATTAGAGGCAGAAACAGGAGTTAGGAGGGGTAGAGGTAGACCTAGATTAGATTACTCTTCGCAAAATAGTTAAGGATGTGGGCTGTTCTAGTTTTAGGGAAATGCGAAGTTTAGCTCAGGATAGGAAATAGTGGAGGTACGTGTCCAACCAGTCTTAGGACTGATGACCTTGTGATGATGAAGTTACTAGGTAGGTACCTTAAAAAGACTCTGCTATCGGTTTTAGGTAGGTGACGGCTAGGAAAGCCTACCTTTTCGTTTAACTTAACCTAAACTAAATTTTGAACTCAATTGTTTTATAGCAATAGCTCCTAAAATTATTAAGGCGTGTGTTTGACTTTTGGTACGATTCCTTTTCTTAAACAACTTAACACGTTACAATGCAGTCTCTGAATGTATGTTTGAAGTTGTAGTAGGATCATGTCTAATTCTGAAGTCTAAACTGTTAAATTAGTTAATTAAACTTATTAATTGATCCAAGCTTTCGCGACCACCATTGATATGATTAGTAATTCTAAGGATTTCAGGCCTCGTTTATTAAGGCTACTTGTCCTCAATGTTTCGTCGTTTGCGTGGACGACATCTTCAGAAGTTGTTTTCCCAATGTTGAAGGATAAGAAGCCTTAATTAACGACATCCCGAAAACCTAAAATAACCAATTACAATTCTGTAAGTTAAGCCGTCATGTTACGTTGAGTATTTTGTTTTGCTTTTCTGTGGAAACTGACTTTCGGAACTGAGTTCAATTCAGCATATATTAATTACAAAAAAAATTTTAAATAATAGATCCCAGTTAATCTTTTATGGTTAATTGGTGTTTACTATTTTGGGTTGGTTACAATAACTGGAACATGGTCTAAAGTCGTGGGATACCGTTCAAGTAAACAGAAAGATTGGTGGAACAGTGAAACAGTGTCTGAATACTGGACAAAATGGAATTATTTTGTACACGAATGGTACAAAGAAACAATATTCATTCCTTTAGTAAAAAGTGGAATTAGTTCACAAAGTGCGAATGTTGCTATTTTCGCATTTAGTGGACTTTTACACGTCTTCTTTGTAAGTATTGGACTTTACAATTAGGTAATTTTAATATTTTAGATTTACATTTTAATCCCTGTACGGGTTGAGTTTTAAAAAGTCCTTCTTTACTGCTCGTCTACGTTGTATAGAAAACGCCTGTAGAAAATAGAAAGTCTCTAGACCCGGTTTATCCTTTTCTACATTATAGAAGATAGACTGATAGATTTTGGTTATAATAAAAAATTCCGTAATCGAGAATTAGCACAGTATTAAATACGAAAATTTGAGTTTTAGAAAGTCCTTTCTTACTGCTCGTCTACGTTGTATAGAAAACGCTTGTAGAAAATTTCAAGTCTCTAAACACGGTTTATCCTTTTCTACATTATAGAAGATATAGTTTCGTTATAATAAAAAATTCCGTAATAGAGAATTAGAACAGTATTAAATACGAAAATTTACTTTCTCATCAATAGAATACTTCGTTTATAGTCTACATGATTGTTCATGTTTATTGAAATGGAGTTTGAAAATAAAAATATTTAATTTTTGTACATTTAAAAATTACTTTATTTTTACCTAAAACCATGTTTATATGCGACTTAAAATCTTAATCTTACTTGCTAATGCTTGATTCTCACTATCCGTAAGTTGACGGTCAGCAGCCGCCCGTCAGACGTCCGTCAAAATATTATTCCGTTTAAAAACCGTTGTGTGTACTCNGTACAGAAATAGTAAACAGATAAATTTATATATATTAATGGCATTTAATATTTGCTCATGCAAATCCTTATTTATCTCCGGTAGACATATTATGAAGGGTGCTCTGTTTATTTGTAAATTGGTGGTATCAGTCTGTCAATCCAGCGCGTAATTTTTATCGTAATATCTTTAATCTTATGATGAATTAATATTTTTGTGTGTATCAGTTAGCGTCAAGTTTGAATACTCATGATTCATGATATCATTTAGGTTATTGATTGTATAAGATTTTTCATTACTTCAGAACATTTAAATGCATGTTTAGATGCATTTAGTTTGTCCTGGATGAAACTAGTATATACTGAAACTGATTGTGACAGATACAACACAACCTATATACTTACTGTGGGTACAATGCGGAAAGTTTTATTAAAATTGGATTTTACTTTATGTATATATATTTATCTTAATTTTAATACGTGGAAAAAATTAAAAGTTTATTAATAACAGTTGTAAGTTTTGTAAACATAATTTGTTGATGTTCATGGCAGACAGTTGAACTGTTTGTCCTGGCAGTGGTCAAAAGTACAGATTCAATTCGGAACAAAATATCGTCTATCATGCTCTGATAAGAGGACATGTTCGTAATTTTTTTTTCTTCGTATCAGTATATCGTCTTTTGTTGGCCGATACAGATGTGTTATTCATGGCTTTGAAATTACTTTAGTTTAGTTAAATCAATTATTTATTGCGCGTTGAATTAAGTGATAGTAATTAGTAAAATGACAGCATATAACAAGGGAAGGTAAGTTAAGACTGATTAGAAAATAACTGTGGAAAGTGGGTACTTTTGATTACCAAATTGCAGGTATTTTGGTATTGGAGTTGAAAATTGGTTTCTTCTTATTAGCATCTTTAGTGGTATAAATGTTGCATTAGGAAACTGGAAAAATCAAAGGTATTTAAATACAATGGTAGTTATGAAATATGTATTATAGTGAGAGCTCACTTTTTAATAGCGCATACATAAGTTGCATGTTAAACTATTTTGTTGTTGGATTTGTGATTTTAATTTTATTCGAAAATTTAGGGTAATGAATCTAAATAGTTATAATTTTCCCCCTGCGAACAGCACATGTACATTTATTTTCTTTTTTTATAGCTTTACCAATTTTGTAACACCGTTCGAATTCATAGAACTATTTTGTGAATTTTTAAGAAATTACACTGTTTTAATAGTTATTCTATTTTCAAGTAAGTACTTAAGTTGATTTTTTTTTTGTTTACATTGACTGTGTATTTATATGAGTACATAATAATACTAACTGACCCTATAGACATTTTTTTGTCCAAGTGCTAATAAGTTTCTGAATTTACAAAAACCTATTATATTATATATTTTCTTTCAATTGAAAACATTCAGTTATTTTCATGCCGGGTGCATAACGAACAAAACAAAGCAAAATTACGCATACTATCCATCATTCAAATCGTGAAGTCATGATTTTCATTTCATACAAAAATGCGATACAGAAAATCACTTTCAGTTTTCCCGATTTTTCTATTTTCTAAAGCACCTTTCCGAATTTTTATTTCTTTAAAAATCGTATTAGGATTATTAGTTTAGTAATTACTAACGAAAAGCATTTGATTTTTATCTACATATACATATTTCTGTTTTTGTATAATTAAAATTAACTTATACCTAAAGTTTAAATCAATGTTGTTAATGAAACAAAATTTTCTTTTAGTTTCGTTTATTCAAACAACCTTCTGCATATTTATTGAAAAAGCCATATACAGGGTAAGATTAAAAAGAAAATTTTTAAATGTTTTATTAGCATGCGTTTATTAGCAAAACCTCATCTTTTTTTAGGATTATATTTCAGAAGGTACTGGCCAAGTTTTGTATCTCGTTAATGGCTTTAGTTTGCCAAATTGTTTTATAGCAGTTTGTTTTATGTCTAACAAAATCGGTCCAGGTAGTTTATTTTCTAATAAATTGTCGTAGCCTTTTCTTACCTGTCTTTATTTTCAGTTCCAAGCTTTTTTGCAATAGGGATTCTTTTACATTTGTTTTGTCTTAAAGTTTTATCTTACATGTATGTCAATTATAAACAGAGGAAAACGTGGCTAAGTGAACAAAGCAATAATTCCACTAATAGTGATAAAGAAAATGCTAATGATGTAGTCATTAAGGATGAGAAAGGTACAATAGAAATTTAAGGAAATTAAAGACATTTACCTTGACTATGGTTAATATCAAGAGAAATAGTCACTACAATTGCGAAGTGTCAAATTTTATACATTTAAATCTACGGTGTCATTAATTTCCATTAAGAAAAATTGAATGTCTCATTAAAATTTTGATACTTTTTATCGTTGTAACATAACTCGTTAAGTAAAAACTGTACAGAATTATTAATAATTCATTGATGGGTTAAATTCTGCTCATTTTTAGTTTATTTAGTCCAGGTAGGATTCTCCTTTTTAATGCATTTCATAGTTTAACTCAAACTTCAAAGGGCCATACCGGATCACTGCTTTTATCGAAAGGAATTTCGATCGAAATATTGATATGAAAAATTCATTTTTATTATACACTGTAAACTTTTTAGACAAAGAAATTCGTTATCTTCAGAGTCTCAGTTTGAAAAATTTGTACCTGTTTATGTATGTCAGTCCTTCATTGGTGTATAAGCCAAACAGTGATATTCGTTGGAAGTTGGACATTTCCTATTTTATTTCTGCTTTTATAAAAGGACTTGTCGTCTTCTATGTCGCTCTGAATATATTGAATGTCTTTATAGTAGAAGATGTTAAAAATTCCAAGCGGTTTATTGATAATGGAGAAGTGCTTCAAGTTCTTAAAACAGTTTTTAAGATATTGGTACGTTTAAAAATTGCATTTTAAAATCACTCCAAGGAAGATGTTTATGCTGATAAAAACTAATTTTATTTTATAGGTTCCTGTTCACCTGGTGTGGTTGTTGATTATTTATTATTTCAATTTTTGTGTATTTTTTGAATCCTGGAGCAAAGGAGTTGGGTATCCTTTGAATCAGGATTACGATTGGTGGAATAGCGAAACTGCGGCCATTTTTTGGTGCAAGTGGAACGTTATTGTTCACGAATGGCTGAAAGAGACTGTTTATAAACCACTTCTTATAGCCGGTGTTAGTAAAACCACGTCCAGTACAATGGTATTCGCATTAAGTGGTTTATTCCATTCTTATTGCGTAAGTGATTGTGTCTGTCGCTAGTAAACAACATGCATGTTACGTTTGTGTTTGCATTGGATTTATAAAATTTTAATCTGTTTAAAGTTGCTCTTACATACGAACGCATTTTTTTTTTATTTACTTACAGTTTGAATTTCCTTTTCGACTCTTCAACGGTTTCGGATTTGTAGCCATGGTTAGTCAGATTCCTCTTCAGGAATTCACTAATTATGTGTCAAGAAAACACGGAATCAAACTGAGCAATGCTTTAATATGGCTACAAATAATGGTTGGTCATCCAATTACTATAATTCTTATGTACTATCATTATGCTTCTTCGCAAATAAAGTAATAATAATAAGAAGAAACATATTGTCTCTGGTGTTCTATCCACTAATAACAGCTAAAAAGAAGTTGTTTTAAAAGCCTTCAAGACAAGTTATTTTGCTATACCAACACACTTTATCGTAATTATATAATAATAAGAAGATTCAAAAATACCCTTAAATAACAACACTTATAAAATAGAACAAACAAAATAACTCAAATTCCAACGCCAAAACACGACACTTTAGTTGTCCAAAGCACTTTTTGGTAACAACGTTACCTTCTTCAGCTTGAGTTTCAACTAGTGTCGTGTTTTGGCGTTGGGGTTTGAGCTATTTTATTTGTTCTACAACAACCGCCAAAGTTTTTCCAATCGTCACACTTGTAAAATAAACTATTCAACCGTGTATTTCCTTCAAGACCATAGTACCAGGCAATTACAGACATAATTATTTATTAGCTACAAAAATAAGAAAATTTTCGAATTATTAAGCATCATATATTTATTAAAATTAATCTATTCCTTACAATAAGGTAAAGTCCATTCACTAGACGTAAACAAAAGAGAAACTGGATATTTAAGCACACTGTTTGTTTTAAAATCGGAGAACTTTTATCACAGGTTTAGAAATAGGTACTCGGGTCATTATTTATTAATGATAGTAGTTATGTATTTGTATAGGTATTTAACATTTCTTGTAGATTCGTTTATGTTTACACAAACAGGGTAAACCATCGTAATGTTGAAATGCAAGTATCACAGTTTAGATTAAGGGGGGGGCATCATTATTGCATATTCATCGAACGTTGTTCTGACTTTTTCTTAATTCTTCTTGTTTACTTGAACCTTTGTTTGTATTGATTCTCTTCGCCGCGCAACGCTGTAAATGAAAAAAATGTAAGGGTAAAAAATAAAAATATGAAGGCTCCTATGTAAAAAGCTTGCAAATATTTTGAATTTAATACCTACTTATCAGTGTTTTTGTTATTTGTTTTTTTTTATTATTTCTTTGTAGAAAAATATTTAAAAAATAATACAGTAAGACATAAAGGTAGTAGTGTTTGATTAAACATTTATCTACTGTTTCGCTAAAATTATAAAAATCTGACGGTCGAGATGGGGGAGAAGAATGGGGGCGGAGAGACATAATTTCGAAAATGTTTGAAACAAATGCTGTAGCATCAACTTGCATTTCGAATCTAGAATCGCTGTATTATTTTGATTTATTCTTTTAATGTGAATTAAATACCTACTTACCAGTGTTTAGTTTTTCATGTATATTTTTTTATTTGTTTTGTATTATTTCCATGTAGAAAAATCTTTAAAAATTAATACACTCTAAGATAAGTATAAAGGCAGTGGTGTTTCCTAAAATCTACTGGTTCTCTAAAGTTTTAGTAGTCGGGGGGGTCGATTCGGAGGAAAAAGGCGGGAGTGGAGAGGGATAACCTCGAAAATGTTTAAAGTAAATGCAGTAACGTCAAATCGTATTTATTTTTCGTACAAAAACATTTAAAATTCTATCAAACAAGCAACCCGCTCTCAAAATAATGAAAATTGTAATTTTTATTTAAATAATCAAAACAGTGAATGAATATTTAAACTGCAAACGCAAGGGCTACTTCATAGCAAGGATTTGGAGCCACTGCTCCCTGCAGTCAGCACAGAGACCTGCAGGTCTTTTCTTCGACATGAAGAGAAGTACATTCCTGTTTCATTAGCCAATCGGTATCGGTTTACAAAATTTTATATGGCGTTCTGTGAAACTGAACTAAAGCCCACTTCATTTGAAATACATTATTTTTCCTTTTTGATCCAACATGTAAATGGCTGTGTTAAAAGATGAGAAATTAAATACGTTTTTTAGAGAAAAACACTAAAACCCAAATTTTATATAATTAACAACATTTAAAAAATCTAAAATGTGTTTCGACACTCAAGAACTATAAATATCACCCTTCGAGTTTAGTGCTTAGCATAGTCTCAAAATCTCAAAGTAGCCACTCTTTTTGAAATGCACTAAAAGTATTTGAATCGAGAGTAGAATCTCAAACATGTGAGTGTGTACCCTCTTTTTAGAGTACCTCGTTCCTCGAGGACCCTATCACATTTTTCGATGCATAAACAAGAGTATCTGTTTGCACTAATTAATAGTAGGTACCTCCTTAGTTGCAGTCTCACACATATAAACGTCTATACACAAAAAAATCTGAATAAGTACTCAAGGAGTTAGTAGATGAGATGAAACTCAATGTGCACTCATCTGTTTGAAATTCTACTCACAATTTAATGCACTTCAAATGGAGTGGCCAATTTTAAAATATGAAACTATACTCAGCACTCAATATATACATATACATATATATATCACCACCCCTTGAGTGTCGAAAGACATTTTAGTTTTTTTGTAGAATTTTGAATTTTAGTGTTTTACTAAAAAAAATACAACGCGTAATTATACAACACGCTACTGAAGTAAAACTTCTTCAAACACACAAACATACCGGGATAGGGGTTAAGGAATTGGTTTAATGGTATTATTTGTACACTATGAATTTAAATGTTATATTATATATGCCGGAGGTGCCTGTAACGAACGTTGCATTGAAGCGCGCTCACGGCTCAAGCGATCCCCACTACGAACTCTACTACGTGGTCGAGTAGAGGGCGGACATTCGTTGCATGATTTCGTTACATAGCAACTCGCATAAAAGGAACTTACCCTACCGTGCGTAAAGAAGTTTCACTTTATTGTTTATTTCTCATATTTCTATTCAGCTTGGTACCTATACGTTACATCAAAGAAGAAAAAATGTGCATTTTCCCAACAAATCTTCACGATACAGTTTTTTTCTTTCTTTTTTTTCTTAGGATAATCTTCTTCTTTTCTTTCTAACTTAATTTTACGAAAAAATTGTTACTAAGTTTGTGTGTATTTATAGTTTAAGAAATTCGCGGTTGTCTATTTTCAAAGACTTGGCTTTCAGTGACTTTTTTATTCTTCCAATGTTAATGAAAAATATCTATCTACGAATGGGGGAGTTAAGTAGAGTAACAATTTGGGGAGACACCAATATATGTAACCCGGTTGGTGGGGACTGCAAAATTGGGTATTTTATTACAATCGTATTTTATCTATAACAAAATCTAAATTTAACCGACCCGAAAATTAACAAATTTGGGGACGGTTATTGAGCAAATTAACAATTATATGGTGAACACCATCTATGAGAAGTGTCTACGGCGTGCTAATGAGAACCAAAGATCATGCAAGAACTTATGTTTAGAAGTTATTTTATCTGGGTGTAGATTATTTATATTATTTTATTATCATAAAATCTATCTTAATTTGGTTCAAATCTTCATACAAAAGCACTACCCTACACCTAATAACTTACCGCCTCTTTCTTCTCCCATGTTTTTCGAGACTGCTTGTATTTTTCAAATTCACGGCACCAATCAGCGTAAATTTTTTGGTAATTTTCATTTTGATTAGGCGATAAACATCTATCAAAGTCTATATTAACCTCATACGAACATAGAAGGGAAGTGCCAACGAAGCAGTCGTATTGTCCTGAATCTTCTTGTTGAGCGCTTAATATAACGAGACCATGCTGGGACGTTTCGATGTATTTGTCTGATCTATACATATTAAAAAAAATGTACTCATTAGATAAAAGTTAAGAACTATACTTATTAACTTCCCATTAGGAAGTTATTGTAATTGGGTCGAAAAGTGAAATCGGAATTTTCATTATATTTCCACGTTTTAACATATTAGTAGCATGCTAGCCAATTTTTTTGATGATGTGTGTATGTACGTACGTACGTACGTACGTACGTACGTA